TTAGCATGTTATGTTCCTCTATCCTTTTCCTTTCATCCTCTGTATGTTTTTTCATTTAGTGTGTTTCTCGTAGATGGCAGTATCTTGTAGATAGTTTGCATGTTCTTTTTATAAATCTAGTCCTATTTCTTTCTGGTAACTAATTGGACTGTTAAGGTAATTTAAATTTCATGTAATTATTTTTGTGTTATGGGTTAATGTTTACCATATTTCTCTTTATTTTCTTGTTCTTCTGATGTTTTTGTTATTGCTTTGTTCATCTGTTGCTCTTTTCCTGTGACATTCTGAAGTAAATTCAAATATATTTTAGTTCTTTTCATGCACCACTTAAAAAAAACTTTTTACAAGTTTCTATAGGGTTAAATTGGGTGACTTTAACTGAACTGATTCTATTTAAAAGTCAATATTGTATAACATAATATATCTCACTTCACACTTGGTTCTCTGAAGCCTCTATTCACTTCTCATTTCCCATAATATAGGTTGAAGTAATCCCATTATTTGTGCTATTGTTGTGATATTCTAGTTCTAAATATCTTATAAGCCCTAACTTTTACTATTATTTTTGCTAAAAACAAAGGATTGGCTGGCTTTTCCATGAAGGGCTTGTTAATAAATATTTTAGATTTATGAGCCATATAGTTATTGCTACAACTACTCACCTTTCTTGTTGTAGCATGAAAGCAGCCACAGACAACACAGAAATAAATTGGGGAGACTAAGGTCCAATTTATCTTTATTTACATATGCAGTTGGTGGGTCCCAGAGCTGTAATTGCTGACTACTGTTTCCGTGGCTGTTTATTAGGAAAATTACAAGACAAAAAGAAACATATTTTTTTTCTAATATTTACCCACTTATTTACTGAATCTTATCAGCTTCGTTTCATTTTTTCCAGGCTTTATTTAAGATCATCAGTATACAAAAAACTGGGCATAATTAATATAGGCAATTTGGTAAGTTTGGACAGATGCATACCTCATGTTACCATCTCCACAATCCAGGAGAAACATACTTATTGCCTTCAAAAATTTCTTTGTGTTTGTGTGTATGTGAGAGTATGTGTGAAAAGCACCAGAAATAAACCATAAGTTTATTTTGGGTCAGCTGACCTTCATCCAGGGTGCCAAGAATATGCAATGAAAAAGAAGAGTCTCTTCAATAAATGGTTTTGAGAAAACTGGATGTCCACTTGCAAAAGAATAAAATTTGGCCCTTGTCTATCACCATACACAAAAATGAACTCAAATGGATTAAAGATTTGAGCTTAAAATCTGAAACCATAAATTCCTATAAGAAAACATAAAATAATAGATCCTATATTTCTTCTTCTTTAAAACATATTATATTGTTCATGCTATTACAGTTGTCTCGATTTTCCCTCCTTTGTCCCCCTCAACCCTCCTCACTCCCTCAGGAAATCCCAACATAGTTATCCGTGTCCATGGTTTTGGCTAATCCCTTCACCTTCTTTCAACCAGTACCCACCTCGCCCTCCCCTCTTACAGCTGCCAGTCTGTTCCATGTTTCTATATCTCTAATTCTATTTTGTTCATTAGATTCCACACATAAATGGGATCATATATTAGTCTTTCACTGACTGGCTTATTTCACTTAGCATAATAGTCTCCAGGTCCAACCATGCTGTGTCAAAAGGTAAGAATTCCTTATCTTTTACTGCTGTGTGGCATTCCATTGTGTAAACGTACCACAGCTTTTTTATCCACTTATATACTGGTAGGCACTAAGTCTGTTTCCAAATCTTGGCTATACTTTTTGCATACAAATTCAAGTTTTCACTGATAATGCTTCCCTTTAGTGTAAAGAGGATCCTTTGGCATATTTTGTCATCCACTTTTGCTGGCTGCTAATTCTCTACCTTTCATTTTTCAGAAAAACATATTTATTTGACCCTATTTTAATACATAATTTTACTGCATATAAAATTAGAAACTGACAGTATTTTAAAGATTTTAAAGATTTAAAGATGTGGTTCCATTATCTTCTAGCCAATGATGTTGCTAAAATGTGATAATTGTCATGGATATCATCAGAATATCATTTTGATTCTGGTTGCCTTGAAAATTTTCTCTGATTTTAGTTTTCTGCTAATGGATTATGGTGTACCTAGGTGTAGTGTTTTGTTTTGTTTTTTCCTTGCTTTTTGTATATGATATGCTTGGATCCCTGTGTTTGAAAAAAAAGTTGTCCCATTCTTTTTATTTTCTTCTAGACCTTCAATCATTCATATTTGAGACCAGTATCTATCATTCTCCAAGTCCTCAGGCGTCTCCACTGATCATGTCCTTAATTATTTACAAGTCTAAGAACTTAAAACTATGTATACAAACTAACAAGAACTTGTGAGAATTCTCCCATAGGAAAACATGATACCTGGTGATTGGGTTTCTACCATAGTGCACAAAGGTTACTTAAACCACAAAGGAACTATGCTCAACTTAATCATAACAATATTAGTGCATAGAATAAATAAAGATGTAGTATTTTGTATCATTATAGTTAATATTTTCCAACACGTATAATTCACTATCTGCTAGGCTGGTCATTGTCCCCAAAATACCTTTGCTTACTTTTTTTCCTTTTCAGGAAAATATTCTTAACCCCCCCGTCATTTCTCAGTGAATAAAATTCCACTCTCCTGTCCCCATATTCCTACAAACATCACCTACTCATGATATTCATAAAGAAAAGAGGTCTGAACCTTTGAACTTTTCTGGGAACAAAAATAAATAGAGATGTGTAGGCTGCTATTGACTTTTATTCAATTCTGTTCATTGTATTGTGCAATGAGATCAAGTCCTCTCTGGGGTGATGATATAATATTAATGACGAGTGAAAGAGTCATCTTGAATATGATAAATAGTTTCAATAATAAAAATTTAAAATTTTCCTAGTTAATTTGGTTCTCAGAAATCAAGACAACTGTTTTCAAAATCTGTTTTGTAGATAATGAATATATGTATAAAAATATATGTATCCTTGCACATACTATATTCCAGCTCTTGGGTTTTGGATTATAGGGAATTCAAGGGGATTACTTCTGGTATGTTTTAGTGAAGTAATGGCCTTTAAAAGTTTCTGCTAGTGTCTGTTTTTATGAAATCATTTTCTTTATACATTGTCCTGGATTATACTGCATTTGGGATTCAATCATTTCTCCTTCTGCTCACCAATACTATTTTAGATTGTATGTGAAGATATTGAAACAATGAGGCTGACCTGAAGATTGAAAAGTAAAACCATACACTGAAAACAAATTAACACATGGGTCTATTTCCTTTCCTTTTACAGGACAACCCATAGCAGATTTATTCCTTCCAGGGACTATCAAAATCTACTCATTGCACCCCACGGGTCTGAAATGGGAAAATGGAGCTAGTTTTTCTCCTGGTCTCAGCTTGTCTTCTAGTTCAAAAACATAGGACTTGGATCACATAACAGAGAGCAAATGAAAATCTTGCTGAGTCAGCAATGTCTGTCTAAACGAGACTAAAGTTGGAAAACGGTGTCACCAAAGAAAATTAGAAAGTGTATAAGCTGCTGAAGGGATGCAGTTAATTTTGTGGGGTAGTTTTGCTTGGTCAGATTAATAAAAGAAAGGTGCTCCACTTGTATCAATATATAGAAAACTGTTGTCTTTGAAGGACTCTTATTGCTTTGAGACAATAATATATAAACATAGAATAAAATTGCATCATGTCACTTAAATTACCCTATAGAGTAATACATTAGATTCTCTTTCCCTTTTAAATATTTCTAGGGATAAAAATTAGCAGTTAGATCACCATGTAAGTAATACTATCCTAGGTACTTCAGGCTTTGTTTTTAATTTTTTTAATTTATTGATTTGCTTAGGGGAAAGGAGAGAGAGACAGAGAGAAAGAAAGAGATTAATTTGTTGTTCAACCTATTTATACACTTACTGATTGATTCTTTATGTGCCCTGACTAGAGGTCAAACCCACAGCCTTGGTGTGTATGGACAACACTCTAAGGAACTGAGCTGCCTGGGTAGGACCAGGGCCAGTTTTAATAGCTGACTTTAAGAATCAAAGTAGAAAAACTTTAAGTTCAACTGAATGTTAGTAAATATAGTTGTGAAATCAGAAGTAATAAGACCAAGCAAAGAGGACATTTTTGGTTAATCAATTATATCTTATGTACCTAATATTCCATTTCAGGAAGCAAAAATTTCCCAAAGCAAGGAAAACATTTTAAGGAGGTGTGATATATTTTAATCACAATTTTTAAAATTATTTTTTATATTATATTCAATGCCATTTCTTCTTTTAGCACAAACACTCCAACTATTATAAATTACTTTACATAGAACAAAATAATAAAAAGAGTATATTCTTTCTGTGGGTACCTCAACCCTATCTCAAAAATAGCACAAACTTATTTTACATAATTTAAATAAGTACCCAAGATTTAATGCAAACTTGAGATTTTTTTTAATACATTAAAAGATAATGGCATCAAACAGTATTGATACTTCTAATTCATTGAATGTGATATATCTTTACTGCTTTTCCTTTGAATATCTGCAAACTTGTAGTGAGCAAGAACAAAATAGAGATTCACCATACATTAAGAGGTAGTAAATAATTAAGAAAACATGAAAAAGAAAGCACTACTTCTGCTATTAAGAATTGAAAGCAGGCATTGGTTCATAGGGGTTTTTAGACTTGCAGAATAAAATATGTATTAATTAATATCTGCAATTTGACCTAAATAAAGCTAGTTAACATTTCTTACTTTATTACTGAAACACTCAAAATAACCAACCTAATCACCAGCTTTACTTGAATTCTATAAACTTCTAATTTTATAGACACATAAACTATCTTAACTCGTAAAATAGACTTGCCTTCAAAACAAATGAATAGAATCTAATTAGAACAGTTGAGTTGCTCATTATATGCTCCATAAATTTGCAAAATGTTTGCATGTGTGTATGCAAAATATTTGGAATCTTACCTGTAACAAGAAAGCTGCATCTCCCAGCTCCAGCTTCATTTATGATGCTACAGTTATAAACCCCATAGTTATCATTGGAAAGACTCTTCACCGGGTACTCTGTGTACTCTTGAGAGTCAAACTGACCCGTCCGTAATAGTTTGTTGCCCAAGCGCCACTCATAGGTCAGTACCCGTATGGGATAAGCTCTCAGAACCCTGCAGCTCATAGTGATACTTCGTTCTTGTCCTTGCCGGATTTCCAAAAATGCTGGTTCCACAGCGGGAGGATCTGTGAGAAAGAGATGTTCAAACAGATAAAGTATGTAGGTTGTAATGAGTCAATGGCTATTCTCATCGTGAAAAGCTATTTTTAAGAATACGTTCAGCAACAGGGAAGGAGAATAAGAGGTGGGCGGGGACTATCTTTAGGCCCAGGAGTTTGAGCTGGGACTGGAAAACTGATGCACTGAGTGTGGACAGTGAACGCGACTCATTGCTTCCAAAAAGCATTAGCAGGTAAAACTAACAGTTTAGTTTTTCTTTCTAGCTGCTTCCCAAAAAAGATTGTCATAGCTTTGTTTTGTTTATACTGATAGCAACCGAATAATGTCCCGGGTATGAAATGCAGTCTCCAAACTGGAATGAAACTGTGAAGAAGATTAAGAGATTAGTGAATTTTATTATTTCCATGTGAGGCTCAGTCATCAGGGTTTGGATACCCATTATCTAATAAATTGATAGCACAATTATATAAATTTAGTTTCTAAATTATTCAGTCTGAATTTAATTGACTGATGGTCATAATATCATGCATAAACCTTAAGCAAATGTTACAAATTGTGCTACAGGGGGATGTGGTTTTCAACCCAATATAATGGGTTGCATTTATCTGAAAAAAATTGTGACTTTTTTCCATATAATTAAAACTTGCTACACTTCATACCTAATCTTTTTATGGAAAGATTTCTAAAAGTTGTCATATATGCCTCTTATTATTTATAGTAGTCCAAATATAATCCTGTTCTTAGTGACTACAGATGGTCATGATTAATGACACTTATTTCCTGGATGCTAACAATGGGCTTCATTTAATTAAAAAAATTGTAAAGGACCACTCAGGATTGTACTGCATGACACAATCACATCCTTGATTAGATATTTATGGCAGCCTCTTGACTTTGCAATACAAAAACTGTACAACTCCACCTGATATCCCTTTCATCAAGATGCTAAAAGGTTTCAGGACCATTGCACCAAATACACCCCATCTGATATTCTTTCTGTGTTAGTGCATATACTTTTTATATTGCTCTCTTACTGTCACTTATTTAACTGATACTTCTTGCTTCTTTCAACAAAGATCTTTAAATTATCCTTCTGATTCTAGTTTTATTCATGAATTTAGTGTGTTAGCTCTTTCTATATAACTGCTAATAATTAAGGAAATGAACCATTAGACAATAAACCTGTCTGCTTATAAGTTAATGCTCTAAGACAACAGGCAGACATTGAAATAGCTAACTTATAAAACTGAAGTACAATAAACATTCTAGGGTAGAAAGTAAAGTGAATAACCCTTAGGAGGACTGAGCTGGAAAAGGGTCTCAAGGAAGGTGACCCTTGAGCTGTGCCTTCCAGGATATACAGAAAATGATCAGGTCATTACGCAACAAGAGAAGATACTCCAGGTAGGGGGATTAGTACATGCAAAGGGGAGGGGGATATAGAGAGGGGGCAGTGTTCAGAGAAATACAAGTGAATTAGCATAGCTGGTGCACAAATGTACATGAGGGCTTGAGAGAAAATAAATATGAAAAGATTCCTTGAATGTTACATTAGAAAATTTGGATTTTATCCTGTTAGTATTAGGGTCTCCAATTTTTTAAAAAAAATTGTATGATTAAAGTAATCTTTTAGAAAAAATACTGTGGCAGATAAGATGGGCATGAATCTTAAAGGAAAAAGCAGGATCATTGTTGAAGTTCCAAACTAAGGCAATACCAATGGGATTGCACATGATGCCTTGTTCTGTGCGTGATTCAAAGAGTGAATAGCATGCATTTTTGGGTTGCAGTGTGGATCTCTCACATCAAGTCTCATAGCTGAGTTGTCCAAATCATCTCTCCACAGTTGTTGGGTTTTTGGTTGTTTTTGTTTTATTTCTGCCTACTTAGTACTCTATTTGTATTACTTTAAATGGGTATTAGCTTTTTTGAAAAATCCCTTTTTTTAGTTCCATCCTCTTTTTGGCTTTACATATATTGAGTCTATATTATTAAGTACATACAAATTTAAAATTGCTTTATGTTAATGAAATATTGCAACTTTTCCCATTATAAAATAATCCCCCTTATTCCTATTAATGGTTTATTATTTAAAATGCTATTTTGTTTCATATTAATATAGTTACCCTGGCATTCCTTTAGTTATTAAATGTTGTGTCTTTTCCATTCTTTTATGCTTTCAGTACTCTTATATTTTATAAGCATCTCTTTTCAACAGTACGTGGGTATATTCCATATTTTCAAGGAAGTCTGATGACCTCTGTATTTTAATCAGAAAAGTTTGTACTTTATTTGTATTACATTTACTGTAACTATCAATATATTTGGGTACAAATGTACCTTCTTATTTTGTACTTTCTATTTGTTTTATTTCCTTGTTTTCTTTTCTTTTATTTATTTTTTATTAATTTTATTTAGTTATTTTTCAAGTACAGTTTTTTGTCTATTTCTCCCATCCCAGCCTCCCCCGCCCCTTGCTCCCCACCTCCCTCCCATTTCCAACCCCCTTAGTTCTCGTCCCTGTGTCCTTCCTATTTGTTCCTCCAAATCCCTCCCCCTTTTTAAAATTTTATTTTAAATAAATATTTATTTATTCCAATGTTTTTCCTGATACTGGTTGGGAATTTAACTACTCAGTTTCTATTATTTTCCTGAAAACCCCAAAGCATGCAACATGCATCTTAAGTTACCTAAAAATATCAGTTAATACCCCCACCATTCTAGACAAAATAAGAATCTTCCAACACTTTGGTCCTTTTAGTCCCATTCTGACATTTGTTACTGAGCCATGAATTTCAGTTCTCTCTTGTTTCGTTAAAACCTATTGGACATTATTATAATTTTATACCTGTAACTTTATTTAGAATTATCTGGTTGTATGCTAGCTTATTCCCCCTTAGTTCCTTCTTTTATTATGAACGCTCCAAGTGTGTGATCACTTTCCTTTTGCCTAAACTACATCATTTAGAATGATCTTTAGTGAACTTTCTAATCATGATTTTCTAAAAATATTTTTAACTTCGTCGTTAAGGGATATTTTTCTTGTGCACATGATTGTAGGTTAGCAGCTGTTTTCTTTTGGCACATCAGGGTATTATTCTGCTCTTTTCAGATGATCACTATCACTGTAGAGCAGTAAGGTTAAAGTCTCTCACTTTAAAGTGCACATCTTCTTTTCTACCCGCTACTTTTAAATCTTCTTGTTTTTGATTCTCTACAGCTTCAATATAACGTTTTCAGGTACAGGGTTTTATTTTACTTATAGGTAGGGATTTCCTGGGCTTCTTAAATCTGTTGATTTAAGTTTGGTGTCTTTCATCTAGGTGATTTTTGAAAACCTCTCATCATTAGCCCTTCTAATAATACCTGTGTTCTTTTCTTTCTATCCTCATTGGAGGATCCATTTCAACCTGTCTTCATGCCCATTAACTTCACTTCCAAATTTTCCATTTCTTGGTTTTTCTGTACTGCATTATATATACATTTTCTGAGCTAATTCAGTTCATTAATTTTTCCCCAACTCTGCTTAATGGGCTAAACTAATTCATTTTGTTTTTAATTAAAATAGCTTTCATTTATAAATGTTTTGTGTAGTTTTTTTATACCTGTTATGCTACTTCTATACTTTACAATTACCTACAAATGTTGTAAGGCTTGTTCTGTATTTCTTTAACAAAGTAATTATTTTATACTGTTTGATATTTCCAATTATGGTTTCAAGGGATTTTCCCACCTCAGGGTACCTTGTTGCTACCTAATTTTTGTTAATTCTAATTCTATAATATACATTACTCTTTAAAAAATATTGTGGGACTACTTTGATGCCTAAGATGAATTTTTCTTCCTCTAGAAAGATTTGTGTCCACAGCCAACTATTGGCATCAATGTCTAAGGTCTTGTTAATTTAAGTTCATGGCTTAAGTTTTTATTTTACTCATCTAGGTAGTATAAATTTGAAATAAAAATCCACATAACAATCCAGCTTGTGATTATAACTTTATGTGTGGCTTCCCAAGTCACCCCTATCCTGCTTATGTCAAAGGCAGGTTTCTTTGCACTCACTTGGGGTTAGGAATATATAGACTAGGCTTACTTTGCTTTACCCTGATCCATGGATAGAGTCCTTTGAGCTCCAGCTGCTTGGGGGAAGATTTTGCAGTTTTGTACCCCTTGCCCAGAGATGCCCTAAAACTGATGCTTGAATAGGTTATCATCAGCAAATGTCCTAAGGGTAAAAGCAGCCTAATTATACTGTTTTTGCATAACTTTGGCTTGGTGTGTTTAAAATAAACATTTAATGATTCTAATATTTTAGAATATTTCCCAACAATTTAAGTTCTCTGTCATGAAAGGGTTTTATCGAACATTTTGTCTGTTATATGCCAAGAACTACATGTTTCTGTTAGCCAAGAGGAAATATGGACCTAAAATTTCAGAATGGAGGGCTGACTGCAGGCTATGGTTCCACTGAGATAACTCTGAGTAAGAATTAACAAGTAAAAATAAAATGCCAAATTTTAATTTACCTCTTAAATATAATGACTATGGAGTTAGAGAAAAATCAAGGCTATTAAAGGATAATAAATATTCTTAAGCTGAAAAATACACGAATTCAGAGAGTTGTGTTACAAAAGTTAAAGGAGTTGAATGCTTCAAAAAACATGAAATAACCAAATGTGTCAAATGTTAGCAAGAAACAAGACTGAAAATATCTATTGTTTCTGCTAAGTTTAATATCACTAATGATTAAAGTGAAAGCATTTTGTGAAAAGTATATGTAATCTACGTTACAGGATTTGGCAAATGCATGTTGGATAAATAGTAGAGATTGGGAATGGCAGCCATTTGTTCAAGAATATTGTCTATGATTAGAAAACATTTATTCCTATTGATTTTAATTTCAAATTATATTAGTTTACACATTTCTCTCAACCTTTATCACCACTATCACCTCTCCCATGGACTACTACAAATGTCCTGCTATTACCTTCAAACAGGACCAATC